GAAATTCATCAAAATTGTGCAAATAACACAACAGATATATTTAATTCCGAGAATTAGAAGTTCTTTCAGCAAATGTGTAGAATATTTTAAACTGAAAACGAGCTTTGGAAGTTCAGTAATAAGGCTTGAACTTGATCCTAGTTTTTCTTGTGGACTAACCTGTAAGAGCGAGAGAGATTGTCAACGGTGGAAGGGGGATATCCGCAACTGCTGATTGTAATTACGCGTGATTGATCGCATCTAACAATAAGCCATTCAGCTTAACCCTATACTATTCTCTAGTATAATTTTGAAGCTTCAGAGATTACCTTCCTCATCTTTTTGAGTGTTAAAAACGAGAGATATTTTCATGCTAGAACTTACGACTCTTCCATTCTAACAGAACTTCCTCCGATTTATAATCTTCGTTCCTGTTTGTAACATCCATGAGCCGCGTTGTCTTAACTCTCTCTATAAAGGGACTCCACTGTTTCCTCGGAGGTGTCACCGCCGGAGCAGTGCAAAAATCAAAACCAAGGAATCTGACAGTGGCGTGGCGTGCTTTGCGATCTATCGATATTTCCCCATTTGAAGCTGTGGTAAAGAATCGATTATTAAGGTGTTCGCTGCGAACACCCTGTTTATCGATACTTTTCCATAGGTTTATACGGCCGATCAATCGATTTATCGCAAAGCACGCCACGCTACTGGAATCCAAGGAGAAAAAAAAGGAGGTGTTTGAATTTCGGGCATCTTGGAATTTTTTGATGATTTGATGACGTAGGTCGGTACAGCGACGTCCCCTTCACGCTAAACGTCGCTGTACCGACCTACGTCATCAAATCATCAAAAAATTCCAAGATGCCCGAAATGCAAACACCTCCTTTTTTTTCTCTATGACTGGAATCTGAAGACCCAACTAACCTTCCGGTATCGCCTCCTGCCATTGAGGACGACAGAACAGCTCCTGGTCCGCTTCGGTGGTCGCCGTGCTACGTCATAAGCCCCAAATCCGTTGGTCTCGTCGAACAAGTAGCACCAGCGTAATGAGCGGTCCTCCGGACGGCACTGAACCATCGTTGCCGAACGATCCTTCTCGTCGTCACTGTAGCCAACACCGTCCAGCATCTCTTCTGCACCTGCACCAGGTTCCTCGACATTCTTGACTTTCCTGGCGAGCGCCTTGAGTCCTCGCCGACTGAAGGTGAGGCCGGGGGTCTTGGGGGTGGCCGTCGTGGAGGACGAGGTGCGGAAGGAGAAGTTGCCGCCGAAGGTTGAGGATGGTCGGAGCCCGGCGGCGGAGTAGGTGGCGGAGCGGCGGCGGCCGGTGCACCAGGAGACGAAGCGGGCGCCGCCGGCCCCGCAAGAGGTGGACTTGGGGGAGTCGTCCGGGATGGCCGTCGTCGGGGCGTCTGCGTCGGCGCAGTCGGCCACGTGGTAGGAGCCGCGGTTCGTGAGCTTGACCAGCTCCAGCTCGCTCCAGTGGCGGCGGAGTTTCACCAGGCCGAAGCGCGGTGCGTGCGCTTTCGGGCCCTCCAGCGTGTGGCAGGACGGGGCCCAGAAGTGCGACATCTCCCCGGGCTTGGATCTTGGAGCCGCTACCGCATGTTTCCGCCGCAAAGGCTCTTGGCTGCCATACGCGGCATCGTCCGCCTTCAATTGCACTCGGATTTCCGGCGCATGACTGTTCAAATCACAAACTGCGTCTCCACGGGCGGTTTTCAAGAGATCTCTTTTTGCGAAAGAATCTTCGGCGATTTTTTGCAGTTACCGCTCACACGAGACACGGCTCTTGCGTTCTTGCGACTGAACACAGTTTACAATCAAACAAATTGTTTTAAATGTAGACAGGAGACAGGGCAAAGTTAAATGGTTCGCAAAGCCGACCAAATGTAGATAAGAACAAACAAAATGACACCCGATTTGCTACCGCTTCTTCTTCGTCTGTCAGCTGCTCTATGGTGAAGCAACACAGTTGGAAAAGTGCACAAAACTGCGTCTCCACGGGCAGTTTTCAAGAGATCTTTTTGGCAAGAGTCTTTGGCGATTTTTTGTAGTTACCGCCTACACGAGATACGGCTCTCACGATCTTGCGACTGACCACAATTTGCGATCAAACAAATTATTTTAAATGTAGACAGGAGACAGGACAAAATTAAACAATTCGCAAAGCCGACCAAATGTAGATAAGAACAAACAAAATGACACCCAATTTGCTACCGCTTCTTCTTCTACTGTCAGTTGCTCTATGATAAAACTACAGTTGGATCATGAGCTGGGAGTTGCTCTTGAAACAGCGATGGATACTGAGTAAGTCAATATTTTTTGCCACTTCGTAAATGTGACTCCTCGCTGCGACAAACCGTGAGAAAACGTCCTGGAAGGACAAGGCCTTGGAGTATCCATCATTCTTTTACTTTCCTTCGCATTAATCTGACACGTTGGACCCCACTAACGAGATTGTTTTTGGTTTTGCAGCCTGAAACACAGCCCGACATTGACCGAAAACTGTTCAGATTTCGTTTTCTTTAATTCTAGACGTGACGTTCATATATTTCAATAGTCTTTCTCATTTTTCTGAGGCAACGATCCAAGCGGTCCATGAACACTCTGCGTCCGTTAGTTAAAGCTAAAGGATCAACTTTGGTCTCTTCTTTTCGAAAACTTGGTTCGAGAGTTCTATACACAAATTACGTCCACGGTTGAACATTCCTTCAAGTCCGTTTCCAAGGACTGTAACTTTGGAAAAAGAAAATAGCAAATTACACTATTTTTTCATGAAAGCGTAGCCTGGAAATCACACCGCTAGGAATCGGCATGAACACGTAGAAAGTCGCTGCAATAGTAAGACAAATATTTGACTCGAATTAAAAGCCACCGGAAGTTGCAGAGCGAGCACTAACGCAATAACGCAATAAATAAGCAATAATGCTTCCTCTTAAATGCGTGTAATTCTGTCGAAAACCCATGAAATTAATAACAGCATTTAATTAGTCTAAATTATCACTCGTCTGTTTGCTGTTGATGCCCCTGAGCCAGACAGAGGTCACCGAACTGCACGGCAACCTGTTCCCGATGCTTTCGACCAAAACACTGCAACTTGCGTTTCCTCGGTTAGTTTCTCGCCCACATAGACAAAATTCGAGCTATGGGTCACGTTCTTCTTGTGTACATCCTGGCCTGAGAGGGTTTCTGATGCTCTTTTATTTCCAAATTTGTTCTAGGGCCAGAATGAGTTATACCATTGTTTTGCTGACCAGTTTCCAGTTTTCCGATTCCAACTTTTCGTCATATGTGAATGGTCAGATTTCTTCGGCTTTTGACTGCTGCAAGTTGACCTACAGCTCAATTTTGGATTCCACGAAGCAAATGCGGCTATTCAACAGAGTGGATTGGTTAAACTCGAATAAATGTGTTTCAGGGGTACACGCACAAGAATATGTGAAAAAACGATTTAAGTTATTGCATTTTTATCGAGGAACGAAGATCACGAATTTGGAGAAAACTGTTGCTATCTAAAATCTTTCGAACGAAAATCTATTTTTTGAATGACTTCGTCCGGACATCCGAGAAATTGGGAATAAAATGCACAGGATGTGATATAAATCAGGTCAATGCGCACTTGCACTTAGCGGTCGTGAAAAATCCTTGTTTGAACACCAATAATATAAAAGACCAAATTCGATCAGAACGGAGGTTATACTTCGAAAACTGGAGGGAAAATAACAAAGTGTAACACTTCCCCCGGTTTGATTTAAATCGCGCAATTAGCAGAAACACTGCCGGAAACTTGTAACACCAAACACTGTACACTCTTAAAGAGAATGAAAAGCTTAGGTCATGATGGAACACACTTTGGCACAACTATCCGATAAAGTGATGCTCATAACATGAAGAGCAGACACAAAAAATTCTAGCCAGGAGGGCTTTTGGAACGTCAACTTGGATTCCGATGGATTTCCGATGGATCCCGATGTTTTCCGATCGACTTTCGAATAAAGCGATGTGTGGGAGGCGTGGGCGTCGAGGAAAATTGGCGAGCGACCGGAGTGGACTGAAGCGGGGATCATAGGATTTGTGGGATGGTTGGGTGTGGATGCGGGAATGGGAGAAATGGAGACCAGAGAAGGGTGGGCACAAAGTGTAACAAAACACACTCTACTTCCTCTCGAGTAATTATAATTAACTCATACAATACTCATCTTGCCTTGCTGCCGAATCTACATCACCTGTTTCAATAATTAAAATACTAAATATCACTAAAAGGAGTCGCCAATTTTAAAGAAAAATTTGGAGGACCCTAGCAAGAACCCCCCTATTATTATGGGTTACGGTAAAAAAGAATCATACTAGAAGAATCATACTGAAGAATCAATACTTCATCTGAGAATAAACCCAAAATTTTAAATCTATGAGTGCAACCGTTTAAAAGTTAACTCGGGGGGTGGGGTGGTGGTGGTAATGTCCAGACTTTTTGAACAACATGTACATATAAGATAAAAAATTTGACCTGGTGGCGCCGACATGGCCACTAAACAGCGGCGAGGCGTGAGTAGTCGATTATCGATGTTTCCCCATTTGAAGCTTTAGTAAAGAATCGATTATTAAGATTTGTGTTGCGAACACCCTATTTATCGATACTTTTCCAATCAATCGATAAATCGCAAAGCACGCCACACCAAAAGCGGGAGCCAAGACAAACCCGGAATGCGATTAGAACCGATATCTGTTCCCGCCGGGAAGAATCCATGAATAAAAGTTTTCGTTTTCTGCAAGACATGACTTGGGGAGTTTTCAGCCCTCTGTTACATTTCTATGGAAATGTTTCGGATTTTTTGCACTTTCTGGACTTTTTTCGGAACTTTTGAAAAACTCTTGAAAAAAATCCTGGAAGTTTTGACGGTCATGGAGTGGGAGAAATCGGAACAAAAGAGTTCCGAATCCCGGAACTTTTGCCGGTCATGGAATGAAAGCACTGAGTTATGCAAGCAGGTAAGAAAGAAAAGACGCAGGGTGTTTACCTTGGTGAGATCGGAGAGGGCGAGGGTGGATGTCATAGTCAACGGGAGTCGAACGTCCTCGTTCTGTAGAGACGGCATCCTGTTAGCCTCCCGGTTTCACTCTCCGTTGACAAACACCTGCAACAATCATCGAGCGCATCAATACAGAGATATATTCATTCGCTAGGGAAAATATTACCACAAAAAACAAAACAAAACAAAAAACAAAAAAAATACATATGCGCTTCGTAAGAGAAGAGATAACGATATTTAGAGCAACAGAAGATGGCTGGAAACTCTTACGACAATGGAGAAGATTCCATTAACTTGCTTCAAGCAGTCCAGCGAGCTGATTACTGAAATTGATAGACAAAGCTACAGACATAGAAGACATCGGGAGTATGGAGCGATCCTCTTGGTTGAGACGGGTGGTTGTTACAGACTAAGGGGGGAAATGATGGACTAACTGTAGTGTCTCTCGTGGATTGGCGTTAGGTAATCTATCATTTACCTCCTTTGTCCATTGCAACCACCCGCTTCCACCAGTAGGATCGCTTTATTCTCAGTTAATCATCTTTGTGTATCGTTTAGCTATCAATTCCAATAATCAGCCCGCTGGTAGAATAAGACGAGGCGCACCCTATCATGCTGATACCTCTGTCAACATAAACAACTGATGTTGATAATAACGCCATGATGCAACTATTCGTACTCTATGGACGCGCGTGTTGCATATGAAGGAATGGAAGGCGCTTTGGTTACTCTGGTCCATACGCCATGATGCAACTATTCGTACTCTATGGACGCGCGTGTTGCATATGAAGGAATGGAAGGCGCTTTGGTTACTCTGGTCCATAAAGTGGTGTACGCAGCAGTGTGAGGCGCGCAGCGCGCACTGCGCTGACACGAATACATACACGGCAATGTAAAATTCTCGGATAAAAACTGAGAAGAAAGGATATTTCCGCACAATTTTCACAAATCAGAATATTACATCTCACCGCCACACCGAGTCGTGGCAGCGAAACGTGTCGCTGCGAGCACTGCTTCGTGGGCTAGAGTAACCGGAGCGCCTTCAATTTTTAGGATGAAACACGGATGCCATAGAGCACGAATAGTTGCATCAAGGCGTCATTGAAGATATCACTGTTTTTGGTTCGGTTAACAATACTGAACCGGGGAGGGAAAACACCGTGTAGACACTTGAGCGTTGCCAGATCTCCTTTAAAACTAAATTTTTAGAGACTTTTCTGCGCAATTAAATTTCATGATTCTGAAAATGTCGAGGGAATATACTCCTAACTTTCCTAAAATATAATATTTGATCAAAAGAAAATTGGCAACGTCTATGAATCTTCAAACGGCGTTTTTCCGCCGTACCGCGGCAAACTTTCTTTGGCACCCAAGGTTGCCAGGTTTGCCATAAAATGTGGATATTTTACATAGATCAAATGGGGAAACTGCTGATTTTCCAGCACAATCTGGCAACAATGTTGGCGCCCAAGAATTTGGCGGCAAAGAGACGTTTCTTGGCACAAGTTGTGAGGGAAAAGAAAAAGAGAGGAGAGGGCCCCCGAGATACTTGATTATGAGCTTTTAGTCTCAATGGAAAATATTAGAGTTGTAAAAAATTATAAAGTTCATTTTGAAGGCGAAGGAAAGGGAACTTTGCGAGGTGCGCTCCTAGGGCTATGGGAGCGCCATCGAATGGGATGAATTCAGCCCTGGCCAAGTTCGAGAAAAGCGGGGCAAGTGTAAATTTTTCAGCATTTTCACACGCATCATCTGGTAAAAGTGTTGCAACATCTAATTGTTTTCTCGCTGACCAGGGAGATAAAACAGCCAAAAATAAGTCTAATTCCTCAAAATAAAATAACAGCGTAATAACACACACATAATGAAAGCCTAACGCCTCCATGAATAAATTAAAAAAAAAATGTCGTGTTAAAACGCCGGAAAATTCACTCATTAGTCCCGAATTTCTCGAAGATGGCACATACGAAGTTAAATTTGATAAGCTCACCGTGCTAAGGAGGTTATAATAGCATTACATTGAACAGTAAGACTTCAGTCGCCGCCGAATCAGGCTTTCGGGTTTCAGGCTCGGTCGTTTTGAAGCGGCTCTTCCATCATATCGCACTTTTTCCGGTTTTTTTTTCTCTCTTTTTTCTCAACTAATTTTCAACAGTAACCAACATGCGAAAGTTAGCACTATCAGTCTGCAGACAAACGTAATGTTCTTCGTAAACACCCGCGTCGATACGGTGTTCTTTTATGATATTTGTTCCTCTTCCTACTTCGCCTCAAAGTGGCTGAATTTATGGTGCCAGGAATAATCCTACCGAAAACGTTTGCATATAAAATTATGCCGGCAATTTCAAGATATGAGAGATGACTTGTCGCGAAAAATTTAGTGATATCAGCTTCAGTAAACGCTACATCACTTCCACGCGGTATGGATTAGTTTCGAAACATCAGTTACCGAAAGGGCGTTTCCCTGAACCTTGAAGAATCAGCATGCCTTTCAGCTTAATCATGGCAGTAGTTTTTCCGCTTCCTGGGAGCGAAGTTTAAAAAGTAGTGAAAACTGGCGAAGCCTAATTATGTATTCTAAATTACATAATTAAGATATTAGGATGTATACGAACATCCTATAACGAAGCAAGATATCTTATACATCCATGTCTGAAGTGCGTAACCATGCACGTATCTCTATTTGCGACGTTGCAGACTTCCGGTCACACTTTATTTTTTCTTTTGAAAACTTGTTACCTCTCTTGAAAGTTTCCACGATTTCTCTTCTCTTTTAGTAAAATATTCCATCGAAATTTCAGGATATATAGTTTACTTGTTGTAAGCTCTGAGTATGCCTGCGGACCGATTATTGAAATTGATAAACAAATCTATAGACAAAGAAGGCAAAATGGATATAAAGAGATCCTATTGGTGGAAACGGGTGATTGCAATGGACAAGGAGGTGGGTAATAGACTAACTAATGGAAACCCAAGAGAGACCCCAAAATGTGTCATTTTCTTCCTAAGTCTGTAGGAACCACCCCTTTCAAGCGATGTAGAATCGTTCCATACTCCCTACGTCTTCTTTATCGATCGCTTTGTCTATCAATTTCATTCATCAGCCCGCTGGCGCCCGAGATCAGTGCAGAGGAGATCAGAGGGCTGATGGTTGAAATAATGGGTAGAAAACGCGATAGATAAAATGGTTACGGAGGGATCCTATTGGTGGGAGCGGGTGGTTGCAATGGACAACACTGGAAAAAAACACATCGGATCTAGAGTCCAGACTCTCAAAAACATCGACAAGAAAAAATACTCTTGATTCAATCAGATTTAAGCTTAAATCAAGAACCAAGCCTCTTAATTTGAGCGGATTTCCTTTTGATTTAAGCTTAAATCTGATTGAATCAAGAGTACGTTTTCTTGTGGTGATAGGTCAAAATGTCCAAAAAAAAATGTCCAACAAGCAAGAATGTCCAGAGTTGAGAATGTCCATATTGTAAAAATGTCCAAGTATCTGAAATGTCCAATACTGGTTTTTTGGCCAAAGACAAAAATGCCCAAAAGTCCATTCCCTTTGCAAAAAAATTAGAAGGTGGCGACATTGTCGGCTTGAATACTAAATAAATTCGAATCCATGGAGACGACGGGGAAGATTTGAGAATCTTTTTTTCTTGAACTAACCTCAGTTGTGAAACTTTTTGGCTTTTGTAAAATTTTCGTTTGTTAAAAAATGCGGTAAAACCAATTACAGGGGCAAAATTTTACAAATTGTGATTTTTTTATGATTCTAAACTAAACTAATTGGTGAAAACTAAAAAAATTGGTGATTTTATTGTGATTTTTGTGATGGCGAACTCAAGGCTATTGAACAGCCAAAAAAATAAACCTGTTCTTATTCATGATGACTGTATCAACGCCACTCAGCAAACAAAGTGAACACTGTAATTTACTGGAGGTGCCATAACAGGGGTAGCTGTGACGCTCGATGCTCGACAACAGGAAATTTGGAAAATATTCAAATAAAAACCAGCGGGAGCCATGAGCATACACATGCGCCTGACGTTGCCAGTGTTGCTGTGAGAACGTTCTTGTCTCAACTAAAAGAATATGCAACAAATGCACCAAACGAAGGAGCAAGTAACATAGTGAGGAATCACGTTGCTACAATAGACAATGAAGAGGTTTTAGCAATGATGCCCGAGAGAAATGATCTCCGTCGAACAGTCAATCGAGTTCAAAATAAAACCCGGCCTCCATTGCCAAAGAGAATCAATGACATCGAAATCCCGCGGAGGTATCGACGGACAAAAACTGGTCAGAGATTTTTAATGCATGATTCTGGTGCAGATGACCCTAACAGAATTCTAATCTTCACAACGGTCGCAAACATGCAAAAGCTAGCAGCCAGTATCATAATGTTTAGCGACGGAACTTTCAAAATAGTACCGCACCAGGAAAATCCTGAAATTAGAAACAGTCTCCTTCAATTCATGGCACTACCATTTGTCCCTCTAGATGAAATTCTCACCGTTTTCAATGAGCTAAAGGATGATGCCCCTGACGAAGTGGAAGATTTCGTACAGTNAAATCTGCAGCTCAGGGGCTTTCATTTAAAAAAAAGATCACGCAAATCGGTCCGGTGGTTCTCTCAAAGTTAATGCCCCAAGATTTGGAACTTTGCATTTTAATATATAGGATATGCAGAAAGATCAAAGGGATACAGAACAGCTCTGCCAACAGCTCGACTTGGGTCATACGCGGATCAAACAACAAATTTCAAAGAAGTCGAAAAGAAATCAGGATAGAATCCTACAGCGCGTCCAACGCTATCAAGAATTCAAAGATGAAGATGACATTCCACGGTACCTAAGGGGCATTGCCTATTACATTCGAGTTTCCAACGAGCCCGAAGACGAGAATAATGAGGAAAGTGATCAAGAATGAAGAATATCTAGAAACAAAAATAAATGGACTTTTGGGCATTTTTGTGTTTGGCCAAAGAACCAGTATTGGACATTTCAGATACTTGGACATTTGTAAAATAGAGACATTCTCAATTCTGGACATTTTTGCTTGTTGGACATTTTTTTTTGGACATTTTGACCTATCACCTTTCTTGT